TTATTTTGATTTTATGTCCACACGCGTCTTTTTTCACGCGCGTCCACACCGCTAACCGCTATATCGGCTCGGCATCTAGCCCGACCCCCAACACCGTCTGCTTAACATAACTCCCACAGACATAGGAGAATGTCTGGTACGGTCTAGTATATAGTTCTTACATATAGCAGACTTTCTGGTATAGTCTGGTATATAGCTCGTATGTAGGAAAGGGATTTTCTGTTAACTCCGATTTATATAGCAGACTTTCTGGTATAGTCTGGTATATAATTTATTGCCATATATTAAGTATTGAAGATCTGCAGCAAATAGGCAAATAATGACCAATCTAGCAAATTGCCCTGGCTAGCTCAAATCGCTTTATGATTTGAGATTCAGATTACGGGTATATATATATATATATATATATATATATATATATATCCATAACATCCAAGCTTCCATGCATATATATATATATATATATATATATTATATATTATATATGGAAGTTTGCGCCAATCCACGGCCGTCCGATGCGTCAAACGGCGCCGCAGACGAACTATGGTCTGAGTCTAATTTCCCATGGCAGATGTGATGACGCCAATGCGAGCGGACCCACGATGGCCACCTTACCGTAGTAGGCTCTAGTATATATATTGGATATAAATAATTATTACACAATGATAACCGCTAAACACGTGGACGTCAGCTCTCTTCTGGCCAAGTTCTGGGCAGATAACGATATCTTTCGAGTGATTAATATTGCCGCTCGCGCTAACTTCATATTCATAGAACCACGACCATGGAGCCCGTCCTGTCATTCCAACTTTGTCTTACTCTCTCTCTCTCTCTCTTCTCGTCTCTCTCTCTCTCTCTCGTCTCTACTCTCTCTCGCTCTCCTTTCTCTCTTTCTCTCTCTCTCTCTCTCTCTCTCTCTCTCTATAATATATATATATATATATATATATATATATCTATATATATATAGGATCTGCCTACAATGCCATGATCAGGTCACTGTGACGGCAGACGAACAGTCAAAAAGACTCTTGGTTGACGGGGATTAAAAGCGAGAATGCTTGTTACAGCATGCAGCATAAGTATCATATGATAAATATGAAACACGGATCATCTGATAAAGATGAAACACGGATCATATGCAAAGATGAAAACACGGCATCATATGATAAAGATGAAACACGGATTCATATGATAAAGCATAAAAACACCGCGATCACTTATTGTCTGTACTTGGGAAAGGTTGTATGTTTTCTCGGCTCCGGCATCGTAGAATCGGATAGAGTTGTAAAGTTGTTGCATCTCCGCTCCGGCATCGTAGCCAGCGTTGAGTTAATGGTAGGCAGATTGCTAGGCAAGGAGTAAAGATGACTCCAGTCGCAGCAATTTGTTGTTGAGACTGACTTTATTAGTAACACAGATACAAATATATATACACTACGGCACCCTAGGCACCCAAGCCTAGGCCCACGTGTCTCGTCTTCGTCCGCTACATCTTAATTTAGAGTCCATGCCTAATAACTTACGTTGACCTGGTAATGACTAACCGCTCTCCTCTGGCTACAATGAACTAATTTTTGATCTTTTCGTCCGTGTCCTATTTAATATGCATTTCCGAAAACCGCCCGGCGACATTATCAAATCAACCCGGCAATCACCGTCTGGGTCTATGGGTGTTAGGGTGCGCGCGGTGGGTTACATTACAATAACAACAATAACTTGCTAGGGTTTAAAAGTTTCCGACAATTAGTCGCAAATTCCCTAATTAGCCCGCAAGCCCTACTCGATACAAAAACCCAAAAAATTAAAAAAATTATCTGAATAAAGTTGAAACACGGATACATATGATAAAGACTGAAATCACGAACCATATGATAAAGATGAAACCAGATCATATTTGATAAAGATGAAAACCACGGATCATACTGATAAGTTGAAACCACGATCATATGATAAAGATGAAAACACGGCATCAATATATTCATATGATAAAGATGAAACACGGATCATATGATAAAGATGAAACACGGATCATATGATAAAGATGAAACACGGATCATTATGATAAAGCATGAAACACGGATCAGTATTGATAAAGATGAAAACACGGATCATATGATAAAGATTGTAAACACCGGATATATGATAAAGATGAAACACGGATCATATGATAAAGATGAAACACGGATCATACGATAAAGATGAAACACGGATCATAATATTCATATGATAAAGATGAAACACGGATCATATGATAAAGATGAAACACGGATCATATGATAAAGATGAAACACGGATCATATGATAAAGAGGAAAAACGGATCATACGATAAAGATGAAACACGGATCATACGATAAAGATGAAACACGGATATATGCATAAAGATGAAAACACGGATCATATGGATAAAGATGAAACACCGATCCATATAACGATAAAGATGAAACACGAGATCAATAATATTCATATGATAAAATGATGAAACACGGATCATATGATAAAGATGAAACACGGATCATATGATAAAGATGAAACACGGATCATATGATAAAGATGAAACACGGATCATATGATAAAGCATGAACACGGATCATATGCCATAAAGATGAAAACGATTAATATTGATTAAAGATGAAACACGATCATATGATAAAGATGAAACAACGCGGTATCATACGATAAAGATGAAACAACGGATCATAAATTCATATCTGAGTTTAACGATGAAACACGCGATTCAATACGATAAAGATGAAACACGCGATCATATGATAAAGATCGAAACACGGATCATACCGATAAAAAGATGAAACACGGATCTATAATTATTCATATGATTTAACGATGAAACTACGGATCATACTGATAAAGATGAAACACGGGATAATAATACTTCCATATGATAAGATGAAAACACGCATCGATATGCATAAAGATGAAAACACGGATCATTACGCATAAAGATGAAACACGGCATCATATGATAAAGATTGAAACACGCCATCATATGATAAAGATGAAACACGATTTCATATGATAAGGATGAAAACCGGATCATACCGATAAAGATAAACACGGCATATATGATAAGAGGAAACACGGATCATATGATAAAGATGCAAACACGGATCATATTGATAAACGATGAAACACGGATCCATAATATCATATGATAAAGGATGAAACACAGATATTATGTAAGATGAAACACGATTCATATGCATAAAGATGAAACATCGGATCATATGCATAAAGCATGAAACACGGATTCATATGATTAAAGATGAAACACGATCATATGATAAAGATGAAAACACGGATCATATTGATAAAGATGAAACACGCGCGTTCATGAGATAACGATGAAACCACGGATCATTAATAAAGCATGCAAACACAGATCATATGATAAAGACATGAAACACGGATCATACGATAAAGATGAACACACGAATCATAATTTCATTGATAAAGATGAAAACACGCCATCATATGCCATAAAGATGAAACACAGAATCAATATGTAAAGATGAAACACGTTATCATATTGATAAAGGAGGTAAAACGCGCATCATATGTAAAGATGAAACACGGATACATACGATTTAAAGAATGTTGAAAACACGCGATGATAACGATGAAAACACGGCTATATGATAAAGATGAAACACGGCATCATATGATAAAGCATGAAACACGGATCATATGATAAAGATGAAACACGGATCATATGATAACGACGAAACAAGTATTTTGCGATGTAGAAGATGCAGGGATCTTAACTACACACAAAATGCTTATATGACGGTGAGGGGATTCACACCCACAATGAGACGTACGCACAAACCACGTACCCACCCACCATGTAACCACGTACCATGTACGTACCCACAATGAGACGTACGGTGAAATATACGTTTAACGCTGAGATGAAGCGATGCGCACGAATTTCCAATACAAAATACAACGCAATTTACGAAAATTTCGAAAATTTCGCGGGTTAAACGAGAACTTTGATCGGCGGGTATTGACTTGTGCACGGCAGTTTCAGCCGATTTCAACTGTCAGTATCTCCTATATAACACGAATCACGCACGAATCAAATCCACGCTAATATATTAAATGATTATAAATATAATATATAAAATTCAAACCCGTTGCGGTTATTACGCAGCCACTAACATTACGCTGCTAGCGGACTTTTGATTTATTGCATCCTCCTCAGGAATACCATTTTAACAGCCTACGTCATCCATAACACCAGCTTCCCTGCTGCCGCACGGGAACACAACCACACGGAGCTGTTATTTTACGTGCATGCATAGGTTTTTTCTCACACAAGTGCTTGCCGGCAAAGAGGTTTTTTATGTCGGCGCGAACAATCCTCGTGGGACAGACGACAGCACGACCGTCGCGAGCAAGCGCGCGCATGCGCAGTCTGTGTGATGAACACAAATATATTTGTAATGCTGCATGCATGCGTGCACTCAGATCTCATACACAACATATGTACGCAACCGAGTCCGAGTGATTTGAGAATCTTGCATATATACGTCATGGGCTTCGATGGTTACGAATTAATCTCGTAGCTATAGGCTCCGAGTATTTACCGCGGGGTGGCCATGCGCTAAATCAATGTTCGATTATTGGATTTCCACATTCAAAGAAAATAACTTGCCCAGTCGACTGCGTGTTTTTAATCGGAAACGTAATCGAATATTGGATTAAGCTTCTGTGACAGCAACGCAAACTCTCGCTCTTTCTATCTCCCCCCCCCTCTCTCTCTCTCTCTCTCTCTCTCTCTCTCTCTCTCTCTCTCTTCACTTGTGTGTCCCATTACCAGTCTCCCTGTATATGACCATGCATACGTACCCAAGTCTCTTACTCTCCAACATCACCACCTTAATTCTCTCTCTGTGTACGTTCCCATTTCCCCTACCACCACCTTCTCTTTATACCCACCCACGCCGCCCATCGCCACCTTCTCCTTAATACGTACCCATGTCTCTCGCTTTCGGTCGGTGTCGACAAAGATAAGATGTGTCGTGGTGATATATAGGGTGCCGATGCTAGGACGACGCGCCTGGTAACGGTCCAGCAGGCGCACGTTTTCCACCTACAAACAAGTGAACAGAAAAACGTTTGAAAGTAAACCGCCACGGCTGTCATAGTTGATGCCATCGATCGTGTCGTTTTAGTGTGCGCATGTGAATGTGTGTGCGTGCGTGCGCGCGCGCGTGTGTGTGCGTGCGTGTGGGTGAGTGCGTGTGTTCGTGTTCCTGTGCGTGGGTGCGTGCGTGCCTCCCCAAGTGCGCGTTTGTGTGTGCGTGCATGGCCCCGAGTGTTTGCATTGATGTTCGTGTGTTCACATGTTCACGTTCGTGTTACATGTCTTGTTGACGTACGTGCATGCTATATACATACGCGCATGTTGCTATGTTTATGTTCGTGTGTTTATTGTTTATGCCTTGTATTGAGTTATATGTTGGCGTTTATGGTTCGCAAATTTACTGCTAACATCATATTTCGTTTACACGCTTATATATGTAAAGAAAAACATTTTGCTAATAATATTGCGTTATGCTAATGTTTGGTAACAAGGATACATAATAGGATTTTATTAGAATATGTTGATATTTCTCATAACTTTAACATAATTATGTGAATAATAATAGGATCGCGAGATACTTTTTCATATTAAAGAATATTAATATCTTTTCAAGTATAATATCAAAATAAGATTAGATACTAGTAGGTAGGGGGTAGCTATATCATATAGAGTCGGCGATAATAATACATTAAATAATAATAAATATCATAATAATAATAACATTAATAACAATAGGCCCACCGCATTATATGATATCAGGGGTTAATAATGACAAATTTGTCATTATTAACTCCTGATGAAATGTAATCATATTAGTAATTTCCCTACTTCGTAAAATGAAGGCGAAGGGCACGCAAATAATATACTTAACATAGTATATTTAGAAACTAGACACGTAATACGTGCGTCCGCTAAGCCATTTATGGTAGCATCACTTATCCATTAATCATTAACAACGTCTTATACACGCACCACAAGCTAAAAAACTAGAGAGAATAGAGAACTAGAAATACAGAGCTTTTAAATGCTTCACTTGATACTCGATTTAAAGTAGGCCTAACTACTCGCAACAAAAGCCAACTGACGTGCATTTACGCTAACGTTACAGCGACTCGGGCCCTGGCTCAATGTGTATCAATAAGTATAACCCATTACAGCTATACATCCTATATGCATAGATCGTAGTCCCCTGGTCATTCCCTTCAATCGACTATAGAGCGCTTATGAATGCGAGCAAATCTGAGTGCTCGCGAGTGCACGCATATCTTCCCGCATCCAGGCTCTGTGATTGAATATTATACAGACAGCGAGACGTGAGCGTTTAACACGCGCGACTCACTGCGTGATTTCTGCACGCTGCTGCGCTTCCCATCACCACGGTGGCTGTAGAAACATCCATTACGCTCCTCCGAGAAGCCAACATTAGACTGGTGAATGATAGCACACGTGCGCACTCTGCGCGAGTGAAGTGTCATGGCGGTGTCACGACGACATATAGCATTGAAATAGAAAGGCGTGAAGCTATCTATATATAACCCCGGGGTATAACTACACTATAGTTATGCGTCCCGGTGTAAAGTGAGTCACGTCCGTTCCCTCATTCATGTCCACGGGGCCGTGTCGTCACCGTCCCTGTTAAAACTGGCGGGTGTTGCGACCTGTGCTTCGCTGCATGTACGTGAGACACTCGTGCGACATTTTTTGTACTTCCATAAGCATGCCGCATCTGCTGCTGCCCCTACTGTTCCCGTTAGCGTTTTCGCTGATGTTGTTGTTTCTGCTGCTGCTGCTGTTGTTGTTGCCGCGGATGTGGTTGTTGTTGCTGTTGTAGTTGCTGCTGCTGTTGTTGCTGTTGTTGCTGCCGTTATTGTTGCTGTTGTTGCTGCCGTTATTGTTGCTGTGCTGCCGCTATTGCCGCCGCCGCTGTTGCTGCTGTTGCTGCTGCTACTGTTTACTGCTGCTATACTGCTACTGTTTTTGCTTCTGCTACTGCTGCTGCTGTTGCTTCTGCTGCTACTGCTACTGATTCCGGCGCTCCTCATACATACTCAGCAATCAATCAGCGTCGATGCGGCGGTCGTAAACCCGCGCTCTCCGCAACGCGATTTCCAAAAACAGGCAAACAGGCCATTGGCTGCGCGTGCGTGCAGTGCGCTGAATCGCTCTCCCACCACGCTGTAACTGTTGCGCCAAGAAGACGCCGAAAGTGAATTTCGAAGGCTCTTGCTCCCACGACGACATTGTCAGTCGCGGTCGCTTAGAAATACCTCGTTTGAATTTGCGTCGCAAGACGTATTGCATCTCATGATCTCATCGTAATTGAATCGCATCTCGCCTGATTGTCAGCACGCGGGCACACGCACCATTTCCGTTGACATTTCAGTTTAAAAATGTAAATGCAAGATTGCAATCATCTCTGGTGCTTCGTATATATAGATCGGGATCAGCCGAGTCGAATTTTGAGAAAAAGCTTTGCGACCCTGATCGGAAAAATCTATCGCGAGTATGGAACTGGATCAAACCTCGAGCTGGTTTGGACAATCGGACCCTGAATGTTGTCAACAGTTCGTGTAGTATGTAAGCGCAGCCAAAGGGGCATAGCTAGCAAGTTAACACCTGCTGTGCGCAGTCTATGCATGGAAGCGTAGCCGAGGGAGGGATAGCTAGCAAGAAACGCCTGCTGTGCGCAGTCTACCCCTAGAAGCACAGCCGATGAGCAACGCGTTGCCTCCGCCACTGACTACATAGTAACAGCTTCCTCTAATTGGTAATTAAAGTTACACTCTACTCTAATCCACTAATCCCATCCTTCGCCGTAGTGTGCGTACATGTATTTCCTCAGCGGATAAAAGACGCTGCTAATACACTATGAATTCCGCCACGTGCCGCCGCGATGCTATTAAAGCGCCGATGTCTCGCCATTAACATATTAGTGTTTAACGCACGCCGATGCAGAACCGCTGAAATATCGCCTCGTATATATATATATAGACAGAGAGAGAGAGAGAGAAAGAGAGAGAGAGAGAGAGAGAGAGAGAGAGAGAGAGAGCAGAGAGAAAGAGAGGAGAGATTGAGAGAGAGCATGAGAAAGAGAGCCAGAGAGAGAGAGAGCAGAGAGAGAGAGAGAGCCGCCAGATAAAATGAACGTGTGCGATCAGTGAGGCAATGGGTTCGCATTCATGCATTCATAGAATTTGTTCCCTATAGAGGCATGTAGAAGATTATTTCTATAGGACTCTAAAGCAAGTTTGTGCTATAGAGATTTATAGGAAATTATTTCTATAGGATTCTAAAAATATTTGCCCCTATAGAGGTCTATAGAACATTATTTCTTCAAACTTCAGCGACTATTATTAGACACAATTATTGAAAATTGATTTCATAGCTACAAACAATGACCTTCACAACGACGAACTTATAACTACGATTCAGCATTTTCGCATGAATACTAACAACCAATGACCTTTCATCAACACAAGGTTCAAAATTTTCATATCCATGAAAGTGAATCATTCATGGTTGGGGAAATCTCGGCGGACTTGGAGAAAAGGTTCTTGGCTTCGTGTCCGTAAATTGCCCAGCCTCCACAGCTCGGCTCGCACAGCGAAAATAACCGACAGCTATACACGGGCACACCGGAGCACGAATAACATTAACAACCTCACTAGCGTAAAAGCGAATAGCCTTGCTGGGTTACAGCCTGCTGCAGAGACCAAAGCAAGTTCGGAGATCTTTTGCTCAACGAAGGGAGGCTAACGGGTAATAAACAAAAACGTCGGATCGCGCACGTATGACGTAAAGTAGACATGAAAAGCGGTGACATCAAAGGGTATATTCGTCTTCTTTTGCCGATATCAATAAATGCAGGGCATTGCGCAAGGGTTGTGGCGTTGGACAAGCACGCACGCCCTGCATGAGTACTACACAGATGGAACGTGCTACGTGCCACTACGTTCACACGTGCTACGTGCACGTAACGCAACGTAACATAACGTAACGTAACGTAACGTAATGTAACGTGCTACGTGCTATGTACACAACATTGTATATTGTTACTTATAATACTACACTTGTAACCACTTACTACTCATCACTGTACTGTCACAGTTACTGTCACAGTACTGTCACAGTATGTACTGTTACTGTCACAGCTGTACATAGTGCATAAAATGGTATAGATTATGATCTATATATAACATCTATATCTCACTGCTACTCTGCGTAAAGGCCTATTTACACGATGCGTCCTAGACGTACGTCCAGGCCTTATCAGATTTTCGCATATGTCCTTGACGCAACGGTGAATCTGTTTACACGGTGAGTTTTGTTCGAACATCCAGGACAAGTGGTTCCAGGGCAGGCCGCCATGAGGAGAACACGTACACGACGGCTGAAGAAAATTGCCATAGTGTCTCTTCTTGTGGCAGGAATTAAGAAAAAATGAAATTTCGCAAATAAGGAGACGAGCTTGGGTGAGACCGTGGATCGCCAGGAGAGACAAACTAGCGTATCATGCACTTCAAAAAGAGTTGGAGGAGGAAGACCACGGAAGCTTCCGAAATTTTGTGAGGACGGACATGGACACTTTCCAACAACTCCTTGAAAAGGTCACACCAATAATTCGATACAGTTCGATCAACTTCGTTGTTTCCTGTATTGGCCGGGTTCTTGCGTCCTACTTACGATGTCGCAAGAAATTAGAACATGCGTCTAGTGCATCCGATATCGCAGGGGTCACAAAATCGTGTCGTACCGCATAGTTTACACGGTGCGTTTGGACGTATGCGTCTGACTGATGCGACAGACGTACGTCTAGGACGCATCGTGTAAATAGGCCTTAAGGATTCAACGTATTTATAACGCAATTAACGTGTGCAGTCACGTGCGCTGTGTACGTGGGCACATAGTAATGCCCTCCATGTCAATGATAGGAGTTTGTGCAGCAGCGACGCGCTCTCACCTCTCACCGGCTACGGTCTACATCCCATGGCCCCATCGATTATTCA